GCGTAATCTTTTTCGCTTACTCAACTGCAAACACCAGAGCAGTTTTGTATGGTTTAGGTCACCATGATCCTCAAAAGGTCAAACGATGTCACTGACTTTAGTGAGAATGTGACCTCTTGCTTAGAACATGTGTTTAGGCTCTTGGGACACTTTCGAAACCAACCTGGACCTTGACCTTGTTTGACTTTATCGGACCCAAAAGAGATCTAGGAATCTCATACTTTGACTTAAGAGATTTAACGTGCAGGGCAACGCACTCTGTGATTCTAGCGTCTCCAGCTCTTTTAGTTCCTGAGATCTCAGGGCAGGTTAAATTGACTCCCGCCCGAACCAACGGTATCCAACCGGCCATCCGGGCGCTTGTTAAATACAAATAACTGTGTGTATTTTGATCACCTCCGTCCAAGCAGCATCACTGGTGCTAGCAAAACAATATTGTGTATCATTTGACGCTCACATACCATTGTATGCTCGCTCTGAATAGGTCTTATATTAAGAAGAAATGACAAATGTAGATTGCAACTAACTTAGTGCTTTTGGGCTAATGCCGGCCAGCAATGTGGAGCACGGCGGGTTTTGTGGACTGGATGGCTTTCTGGCCAAGGGAACCGGGCTGGGGGCCAACATATCGGAAAAAAGTTCCGTCTGTAGTCCGAGCCGCACGGTGCAGACCCTGAGCAACATATGGTGGTACCAGTCTGTCGTTGGACACACACGCAGCCTACCTGGCACGCCAATGCCTCCGACTATTGACTGGACGCTGCCATTTCCGGCACGATTTCCCTCAGGACATTCCAACCACTGAAGTGCACTGCATGACGCTTTCGTAAGTGCCATATTGTGTTTACTGTTTGGCTGCCTTTCCGACCGAACTACTTGGGGCTCCAAAAATGCGTTGATTTTTGTGCCGCTGTTGTGTCTGGCAAATGCAAATACGGGTGAATATCGGCTGTTCTGAGAGGACCCAGCTGGCTCCACTCCGGGCCTGCGCCAAAAAGTCCCGTTCAGTATATTCTGGCCCAGGATGTCTGCACTCGACTGTCTGAACTCCGAGCCCGCTACAACAAGTCCGGTTCAACATATTCTGGCCCAGGATTCCCGCACTCGACTGGCTCAACTCCTCCGCACAGTTAGCCAAATAAAAACATCCGAGAGCAATTCAAATATTTGCTGAAGACCTACCAATCCGGATGAAGTACTACCCTACCGTGAACCTGCACCGGCTCACACGTGGCTGAATGACGACAGAGAGTTTGCTCCTCGGGCTCTTACTCCATCACAGACTGTCACAAACTGACCAGCCAAGAGACTGACTCGTTTGAAAAGAAAAACATGTAGATGCTCATAAAACGGAGAACTGTGAGGTGGACTGGCACTGGACGGATCACCATGTGTTTTATCCTTTCACGCTTGGTCCTGTGCTATTTATGCGTTGATCAACAGTGGACAAACTCCATTTTGCCTCGTCCTTCGGTTTGCTTGGCATGCGCATCGCATCTTCGTGTGTCGTTTCATCCGCGTCTTGCTGTTTTACCACTCAACGCTGGGTTGAGCACATCCACTCTCCGTGTACAACGACCATTGCTGTAAGATAGCTTAACAAATAAAGTACATCAATAGTCGGTAGAAATGTTGTGGTTATATACACTGGTGTCTTGCTAAGTTTGAATAGACTGAGGGTCATGCAAGAGGCTGCATTCCGAAAGTAACCGGCGTCTCTCAAACGCCAGGGGCAGTGGCCGTGGTTGTCAGGCTTAGCAGAAGCAGATGACGCGGGCGAAGAACTTGCGGGAGGTGAGATTTTGTTTCATTGAATTCTGTAGCTCAAACCAGAGTGGGTTTTCTGCAGTTGAGGGGAGCTGTATGGCTGAGGCAGCTTAAACAGGCTTGTAGTATGTCACCCCAGGGACATTTGCAAGTAAGAGATCAATATTTGCGTCGCTCTGGCAAAAGGTCAGCTTGCTCAGGCTTGCAGAGGCATGCAATCGGGTATGGAAGCTATCCAGACCGCCCGTCACAGGTTGGCGCGGGCTGTGTCGGGCGCCCGCTGTCATGGTAACAGGATGGCTTTCGTCGCATGCGTCCCAGGACCCTGAGTCTGTGCGGACGACAGCGTGTTGCGTGCTTTCTTGCTTGACGTGGCGGGTGCTGACCCTTTGCCGGCAATTTAACCGTCATGAACTGTACTGTAATGTTGTGTCATAATCGGTCCTAAGACAAAAAGTCGAAACGGCTGAACTGCGAACCACAAAAAGGTGAAATGCAAAAATTGCCATGACAGAACGCCCATAAGCTTTATGGCGAACCGCCAAATGCAATATTGATGGAGTCCACGTGCCTAGGTTTCGAACGGCGAAATGGCGGACCGCAAAATAGCGACCCAGCAAAACATTTCTATGTGCTATTGGCGAGCGGCAAAATAGCATAATACAAAAGGATCATGTCTAAATTTGGTCCTGGTGAATGCTGACAGGAAAAACGTAGATATTTTGCAATACTGGGTGGCTGACTGGGCGTCTCATTGCGGTACGGGGCGTGTCCTGCCGTGTCGTGGCGTGACGGTGCAGGGCGGGGCGGGGTGGTGTGTCGCCGGGCGGGTGGTGCCGTGGTGTGTCGCCGGGCGGGTGGTGCCGTTGGGTGTT